CTTCATCATTGTCTTTTGTCAGCTCGTCTCGCAGACTGAGCGTTATTGTAATGAATCCTAGATAGAAAAGGAAGGTGCCGGCTACTTGCGAACTGAATGAAACAGATCACTACCAACCACTTTACATCTACACAACACACAAAACAAACTCACAAATACACGACTTCAGTCCCAAGAAACCCATCCACTGTCCTCCGACCAAGCCTCGACAGACTATCATGACGAACTCTCCCAACAAGCTGGACAACACAGGTAAAATCACGCCAGCCATGTCCGCCCTAACTCTCAACATTCGTCCTACGCCTGGAAAATATATCCAACCTCGGAAGGGACTCTTCTGCCTCGGTCAGCTCCCAGTTGACATCCGCTACCTCATCTATGAATTCATACTCGTCGAACCCAAGAGAAGGGACATTGAACATAAATCTGACTGCTTCTGGCATTCCGATCGTCTTAGACTACTAGAGCCCCCCGCTTTCCTGCTCAAAGACATCGTAATTTCAGAGGAGCCTCACCGGCTTATGTGGGATCTAGATGGTTATTACTGGCCTGGGAGTACCATGTGCCGCTGCGATCAGCGCAAGGGACTCGGGCTACTGTTGACCAACAGACAGGTGCACGCCGAAGCAGCGCCCCTCTTCTGGTCCCAAAACAACTTCAGTTTTCTCAGCGGCCACGAGGCCATCACGGCCCTGAACCATCTCGTCCGGCCAGAATATCGAGACCTCATCTCTTCCATCACTGTGTTGAGTGCTGACCAGCGCGGTACACCTTGCAATGTCCGGTTCGCCAGTGATACCACACAGGGATGTGGCCCGGTGCCATGGGACTCATTCTGGCTGACGATGATAAGGTGCCGAAACCTGAAGGCGATCGAGGTCCCCACTGTTGCTTTGGAAACCTGCCCAGATGGGTTCCATCAACTTGCGACAAAGAAACCCGCGCTGAATACAAACCTCGTCGACCTCATTCCGTTTCGCAAGTGGGAGGATGATCTCTTTTCATACCCCGCCGGCACGCATATTGAAGAGTGTTATGACCATAAGCATTTTACTATTTACGCCGAGACTTCGTCCAGACTGCCAACTGTTCAGGAGCTGAGAAGCTCTGACGAGGAGCCTTGCATCGACATTTGGAAGACGCGCGCCAGAGAAAGCAAGAACCTCCTTCGTCGCACTCGCGAGGTAATCATAGAGACGTGCTTGCGCAATTTTGACGAGCAACATGTCTACCAATGGCGTCTCCGCCCCATCATTGACAGCAAGGAAACTAGATTCGTCCGCCTCGATTTGGGTGAGGGTAAATACTCCTCTGTCAAGTTCTACGGCCTTCCCGCATCCCTCAAAGAAGCACGGCAACTTGCCTGGAAAGAACACCTTGAGGACGAAGAATTCAAAAAGTTGAAAGGTATGTACCCCAGTCACCACGAATCGAAGATGTGGCACCGATGGTTCAGGGAAGTCGTAGAGGAGGAAGGGTTGACTGAGGAGGAGGGTGCCGAGCTGAGGCTTACTGGGTATTATTACACTGTGTCTGACGACGCTGAGACGGCTAACATCGAGCCGCCTCATACTCAGCCGAGAATCGACCTTTCTCACCTACGTGGTCCAACCAATCCCCGAAGGGCGAACAGGGGTATTCTCTGGTTTAAGAGAACAACCGCAAGTTATGATGCTGAGCAGAGGCGCAAGGAGAAGAAGAGAGATCTTGAGATGATCTGCAGAGAGTCACTCGACGACGACGATGACGACTGGTATTAGTCCTCAGGTCTTTTGCCAGCTTTATGCATGCGAGAAGAGTTTTGCTTACTCCCAACAAGTTTAAGAATTAATAGACTTATGCTGCGTCCGGTTTTATCCTCATCTTAAGTGAATGGAATATGGCATCGAAGCTTGATAAGAAGTGCCTTCTCCCAATGTTTATCAGAGCAGGTATGATCTCCACCAAGTCTCCTCTTCCTCTAGCCAAAGGCGAGGGCTTCCAGGCATACCAAACATGTGGCCCTCGCCCTGAACCTCCCTGATTCTCACATCCCCTCCCTTATCCTTGACAGCTTTGTAGATGAGCCGGGCTTGCTCGATCGGCACCACGGTATCCGCGACGCCATGAAGGAGGAACAGCGGAGCCCCAATCTTTTCGGCGTGGTAGAGGGGGCTTCGCTCACGATATCTTTCCTCCTTTTGCTCGTCCGTCATACCCGGATCCAGAACGAGTGCTCCCATGTACTCAGACTCTAGCTTATGCGTGGACTCGTCCAGCTTCTTGACATCACTTACACCGCAGACGCAGAATCCGGCGTCAAAGGTTGTAGGATGGCGGACCAGGGCCTGGAGGACGTTGTAGCCTCCGGCGCTGGCACCGACGATGCCCACCTTGCCGACTCTGCCTGCTTCAACCAAGTGCTTGGCCACTTCAGCTGCGTCGTCGGCGTCGACGATGCCCCATTTTCCAAAGAGTGCCTCACGATACTCCCTGCCATGACCCGTCGAGCCTGTGTAATTCAACGCGAGATAGGCATAGCCACGTGCGGTAAAATACTGGGTTCGCAGCTTGAGGCCAGAGCCGGTGTAGCCAGTCGGCCCACCATGCGAGGAAATAACCAAGGGAGGACTTGCGCCGTCCGGACCGAGGAACTTGGGGTTCTTTGGCATCCACAGGGTGCTGTAGATTGTGCGAGATGGTTTCCCCTTCGACTCGAACTTCACAAGCTCCGGCTTTGAAAATAGTGCAGCGTCCAGCTTTTCGTCTGTGGTTCCTCGAAGAATAGTCGTGTCCCCACTGATGACATCGATGTTGTACAAGGCAGATGGAGAGCCGGCTTCGTCCGCTATAAGGAGCAAAGATCCGTCATCTAGGCGAGCCATCGCGTCGTTGACAATGCCGCAAATGCTAGATGGCCCAATGGGCTTCCAATCGTTGTTCTCAAGATCGATGAGAATCAGCTGGGCCTCCCCAAAGGTTATCGCTGCCGCAGCTACGTAACGTCCCGAAAGTGGTGCATAGGTTTGACTAAGGCGATGTTAGAAATATCTCGTCCAACTTGGAAGCTATCGCGTCTACCAACCTTCCCTGATACCATCGGATCTCTCCAATTTCAGCATCGTCCAGGCCGCTCAACTTGACTTGTGTAGGCTCCTCGGCGCCAGGAGCCAGACGGAACAGTCTCCGGAATCCATCAACCTCAATGCCGAGGAACAAGCTCCCGTCCGGGCCCCATCGAGGCTCAGCAGCGCCCTCCCGATTATTGCCAGCAACTAAGACCGCGTTCTCGACTGTCGCTTCCGACGTCCAGTCCGCAACGAAGATCTTGGCCGATGCGAATGGGAGATTGGGTTGATCCCACTCCATCCAGGTCAGCCTCTTCCCGTCAGCACTAAATTGAGGGGTGTAGTAAAAGTCAGCGCCCTCAACAACGCGCTTGACTTCGCCGGTATCTGCATGAATAGCAACGACGTAGTTCCGGATCTCGTGAGGCGTGTTGATGGTATGATCCTCTTGGTTCGCCAAGACCCAGGGGCTCGTGGGGTTGGCGCTGAAGTTGGAGTATCGCAGCTTTGAGTCGCCGGTCAGATCTGAGACTTTGCCAGTGTCTACATCGAGTGACTTGACGGTATTGTCGCGGTTGGAGAAGATGATGCGACCATCCGCGGCAACGTCATAAGTAGAGCCACCATATTCGTAGACCGTGTTGCCGGCGCTGTAGGGTGCTGGTAGGAGATCCTTGAGGCCACCGTTCTTGGTGATCTCCACGAAAACCTTACGTCCATCATCTTTCGACTCAATGAAGTACGCCCGTCCCGATTGACGCTTTACATCAATCAGCAACTGCACTTCAATTGGTCGTCACGTCTCCTAGATCACTTACATGGACTCGAGGCGATGATACAGACCAGCTCTTGGAGGTCACAGTATCGACAGTGATTGGGCTCTCCCAGTCGCCGTACCGGGCCACCCGTTTAGTAACCATGATGCCGATAATCCGCAAGAAGTTAATTGGGCGATCTTGGATGGTGGGAAAGATACTCGAAAGTCGTCGTGGAAGAACGCGGCCACACGTGAGTCACGAGTGGTTTGAGGGGTTGAAGATGATGCTTACGTGAAGCGAGACTTTGCACGACCGAGTTAGGCAGGAGACATGTGCCGGGTTTGCCGGTAGGGAACTTCGGTGCAGCTCCGCTTTTGAGCCGATGTTGGCCGTGCTGTCCATCCGACCGTGGGGGAAGCTTGCCGTGGGCATCGGCGGTGCTGCCCGGGATGCTCTTGAGCGGCTTAGCCAACCCAAAGCATTTGATTGAGAAAGTGTCGCTGCCTCAACATGAATGAGAAACTCTGTATTGTGCTTCATCAATATTGACACTTTCTCAAGAGGCAGCTATTGCAACCAAACCATACTGCCTACTCCATCTAAAAGCTGGAAGATCTAATCTCACCACAGCAGCCAAGGTCTTTACTTGAGCCTCATCCTTGAGGGTATGTACTAACTCAAACATTCTTATCGAGTAGAGATTATGGCGAAATACATTCACTCGTCTTCAGGCTAAAAATACAGCCTCAAGTCGGATTTCAAGGTCAATGGTTGAAACCATTGCTTAATCGCAGATGACCACCGACGTCAAGCTTGGACGAAAACCGACCCGGCCGAAATCTTAGCCGCACAAGTGACCGTAGCTCTCCAATCGCCGGGATATTGCCAGAATCGAAGACCGAGTCAAAATGGGCTGATTGCCAAGGCGAACTAAATGCCGTTGGAGAGAGAAATGCTCCTGACTCATCCTCCATCGTTTTCCAGATTCCAAAAAACTCGTCTTAATTACCCGACTAATTCCTTCTTCAGTAACTTGTGTAGTCGCTCCTCAAAGCAAGCCCAGCTGCTCTAATTCTCGCCTCGAGCACAAGAAGCTTTTACCAAGATTACCAAGCGCACAAAAGAGAAGGAATTCTCGATCCAAGAGTTGATCAGAACCAGGGGGGTTCCGGTTGCGCAAACCTGAACCAGCTCCATGGCGCCATCCAACGCCCGCGTTTCAGTCTGGTGCAAGTTGAGCCGGCGCGGCAACTCGCGCAAGCATCGCAGCACCGCAAGCGCTACGGTGAACGGAGCAACTGGTCGCATGAGCGCTATCCGCCGGCCTGGGTAGAGTTGCTGTTGGCCTGTTCTGGTGCTGGACACCCTGGCAGTTGGGGGCCAGGACAGGGGGTCCGTTGGTCTTTCAGCGTGCTGATTCGACCAAAGGATCGCTCACGTTTGAGAGTCTAAGTTTAGCCTACGACAGCTGTCATCTGAGACTTGGTGAAGGGGTTCGGATTCTGCCCCTTCAAAATCAGCCGAAATTCAGGATCGTTAGGGGACAGTTCAGAAAGGGCGATAGTAAAGCAAGGGTTTGTGGTGGCTAGTGTCGACTAACAACGGCGAAATTCTAGCGCTGTTTATGGGAATCAGACGAACATCAGAGGATCGCAACCTTAGTCTTTGTAGCATCTCCATTCGGCCACGATCAAGATAACCCGTAACTCACCTCTAATGGAACGGTTCTTGAACAACCCGAATTCAACATCAACTCGTACTTTTGCAATATCGCTTCGTCGTTGGTTCCAGTGGTCGATGCTTCTGCCCCGCATGAGTTACCACCCGAAAACGACAAGTAGAGACGAGTTGCCACACCGCCAAGCAGCGCCAATGCCGGAGCTCAACGACAAACTGGCATGACCAGCCGCCCGCCGTTGCGCAGCACGCAAGGTAACAAACCCCCCAAATTACCGCATTTGTTCATCATGAGGCTCTCGAGATGCACCTTGGCGCACCTTGGCGGCGCGGATGGTGGGGGAGGACTCGTCTACTTGCGCATCCTTGCGGTCTTGTGTGGGTTTCATGATGCCGTCCTTCTTGGCGAGTCGGCGGCCCTCACAACCAAACCCCGCGCATGTCTGTCGTAGACGAGAGAATCTTATCAGCGAAATCAGTTCGTCTGGGCATATAAGCTCTTTGAGTACCTAGGTGCCGCCCACCGGCGTTCATCGTGATGGTTGCGCTCTTTTCTGTTCCCCTTCCAGTATACTTCACTTCTCACCAACTCTTCTTCTCCGCGGCAAGCCCGCTATTACGAGTCAACCGCGTTGATCTCTTTCACAATCTATCCTTTCACTCAGATCTTAATTCACTTTTTTCCGTTTCCGGTTTTCAAAATGAGGCTCTCAACACTTGCCACGATCTCATGCCAACTCCTCCTGGCAGCGTCACTGCCAATCTCGACTACTGAAATATCCTCCCGAAACAACGGTATCGCACAAGGCTCTACGGATTCCAGTCTCGCAGACCGAAGCATCGCACAAAGCGCCGCGACAACTCCCTCAAAAGCCACCGAAAAAGAAGCTGCCGCAGGCGAGGCAGGCACAGCCGAGGGAGGTGCAGCTGGAGGAGCAGAAGGCGGCGCTGCCGGCGGCGAGGAGGCAAAGGGTCCCAACGAAAAGGAGATTGAAGGGCAATTCATCGTTCCCGTGCGATTAGGCGGCGCGAATGTTAAGCAAGATGTTCTCTTTCCTCCTGCAGTAAGTCTCAGACTCTCATCAAAGGGTATCTCAAGACGCAAAATATCTGATGCTCATTACTCGTAGAAAAATGGACGTTTCGAGGTCGAGTTCCAGAACGCAGTCGGTCGAACCCTCACCGTAACAGAAAACAGGTCTCCTGCGCCGCCTCCCGCGGGCTTCACCGCTATTGAGGCGGTGTCGTACAAAGTCAGCCTCGCGGAAGGCGCACAGGGTGTGACTCTCTCAAAGATAGATTACATTCTCAACCCAGGAAGTGAGTCAGGCTCTTGAGTCCTGCTCGACTGGTAGTGGTGGGCTAACATGAGATGTAGATACCCTCGATATCAGCAAGGGACAAGTAGGCCGCCTCTTCCCGGAACTCAACGCCTTCATCATCGACCCGGCTCTCGGTGAACTCGAATTCGAAGCCGAGGAGAATGAGTTGACCTTGAAGGTTGCCAACATGAATGGAGAGTTCGCCTTCTTCCTCCCGCAGGCTGGTGCTGCTGCCGGTGCGGCTGCATAGGGATAGGACCTGGCTCCTGACTTGGAAAGCTCATCCGCAAGGGTATGGCTTGCGATGAGGTCGTATGCGTGTTGGTGCCGCGGAGTAGCGGCCATGTTGTGATAGAAAGAAGCGACGGGAGTGAAGCAAGCCGAGCACACACTGTAACTCATTCATCCTGTAACAGATATTCGTTGACGAATAGTTCAAGTTCTCTTTGTATATTATCAGTAGTCTCAGGATTACTCCTTTTTCTCAAAAGCCGTCGAGGATAATACCCCTACACCAGATTCATATCCTGTACAATCCTATCTGTCTTGGACAGTATGATGCTCACAAACATCTGATGGCCCTTTGACACATTCACGCCGGAGGCCGCAAACACTATAATTTGGCCATGAATCCTTGGTAAGAACATAGATGTTGGCAACGTAGGACCTTCTTGCCCAAGCCAAGGGCTGAGTCGAGACTTTGAGAGTCACGGGCAATCCAGTTTTGGTTCTAAAGAGCGAGTCAGTACATCCCACATGGTCAATGACACGAGACCTAGCATCCGCAACATACATCCATCATCAGCTTCGTCGCTGCTCAGGCGCCATTGCGCTTCGACGCGACACTGGCGAGTCTTACGGAGGCTCTTCCCGCGCCTCACGCATACAGCACTCGTCTCTCATCTTGCGTGCTGGCAAAGCCTTCTTCGGGACCATCCCCATCACCGAGAAGCTCATCGGAATTGCAAGACCACGTTCATACTAACATCTCGCGGCAAAGTTTGAGCCTTTCACTGGCCTCCCTGAGGAGCTCCGAGTGCGACTGCTTAAAGCTTGTCTCGAGCAGGTCCAATAGTTCCGGCAACCTCTCGTTAAGGTCCCTCGTGGCCTCTTCGTTCAACTCTTCCAAATTCGAGAAGTAGGCCAGGTAACGAGCAATTTCGCTATACCTTCCCAGGGGCGTATTCCTGTTAGGGATGCCCAGAGCCTGTACAAAAGACCATATTGTCAAGACCGCATAGTACATGATCCACGGCCGATGAGGATCCGGCTCGCTGCGGCAGGAGTAGTAAACAGAAACCGGTTCAGGCAAAGCGCCGAAGCTACTCGTCCGCCGTTTTGGGTTTTTGTGGTCTACAAGAACCCGGTAGAGTAGTCTGAAAGCATGCAGAACGGCGTGTCGAGTGGATGGTGCATTCGACCAGGTCCTCATTCTTGCAACAGCATTGGCATGATCGCGAGTTGAGACTTTGCGACCGACCAATCGTTTTGCGCCGGCATATACCTGACAATCGACGATGTCAACGTGAAGACTGATATGGGCTAGGTGGTAGAGAACAGCGGCCGAGTGGATGGGCCCATTGGAGCTTGATGGCTGTCCTAGCCCTTCGGAAAGATCGTTCGCACCAACAGCGCTGTCAAAGGACTCTTTCCACTCGTCGAAAGCGCGGAAAAGTATCTTTTTCCAGCTATCATGGGTTTCCGTGCTGGGTGTGCGCAGGTCAAGCCACTTGAGGTGAGACTCTCGACGGGACAGATGCCATCCCACACTGAGCAGCCCCGACATGATAATCATGCGTCCAAAAGTGTGTGTCTTGACTTCCTGCCCGTGTAAAGCACTTTTCAATCCATCGAGGAAGGATACCTGCTTGATGCCGTACATTCTGTAGTTCCCGTCGAGTTGTCGGAAGACATTCGGGGTCGCGGCTGTCCACAAGCCATCGTCGCATGGTAGAGGTAGTCGTATCTCGTGCGGAGCCATATCGGCGTTGTGGCCGAACATGGCTGCATGGACAGTGTCCATCATGAAGGCCGCAAAAACGACGCGATGCATGGATTCGCTCTCGGCCCATCGAATCCACCATGTTCTTGAGTCTGAAGAGGGTCCTTCGTTCAGCGCCGGGGCTTCTTCCTCTGGGGGCGTTTCGCTTCCTGCTCGTCCAATCAGAGGGCTTCCTCTCCTAAGAAGATTCAACAGAGCCGAGTGGTATATATGCGATCTCTCGTGCATGCGTCTGGAAGAGAATATCTTCTCGTAGAACTCGAGCAACAGCATTGCTTGAGCTATGGACAGGCCCACCGGCGCCGAAGCTTCCTCGTGAGTGAGAATTTCCCATCGGCTGCTGGAAATAATCACGTCTGCCAGCCCCCCGTACGGTTCCAAGTTGCCAGTTGAGTCTCTGCTGCTCAATGACACAGCTCCCAAAGCAATCATCACGAGTAGCAAGAAGATGGAGCAGCGGTTCGAAGAAAATGTTGGCTGATGAACGATCGGCAAGCGTGGCGAGATCCTCTTCCAATATTCTTGTAAACAATCTCTCATCATCTCGAGACTCAGAGCAGGTAAGTCTCCGTTGCTCTCCTGTACAAGACTGACTATACGCGGTTCGTACTTGGGCTGCTTGTGTCGGAAGACCTTCAACCACCTCAGGACCTCCTGCCGCCGGTGCTCACTGATGAGTTCGTCACTAACTTCAACTTGCCGAGGTGGCGTCGGATCAAGCTGTGAACGACTCGTCAGTGACTCGTAGTCATAGGGTATGTTGTTGTTGAAAGTTGATTCAAGGCCACCTTCGAGGAAGGGAAGGTTGGCGACTCCATTAAAGTCGCTGAAGCTTGCTTGAGAGTCAAATAGCCAGACGGCAAAGTTCTCTCGTGAAAGTGCCTCGTCGGGCTGGAATCCTCTCGGGTCAAACGACGGCATAAGAGGCGGTGCCTCGGGGAGGGTCATCTGATCGCGTCCGTAGTAAGCGGGCTTCGGTCGCATCATCTCGACAGCCATATCATCGATGGACGGCCATGTGGTAGGTTGGCTGATCCTATTGACATGCTGAGCAAGGGACGGGTTTGATGCACCCGTTGTCGGCGTGGGCGTAGCAGAGTCGGGAGTAAGCAGGATGGCGGCATCATGAGGACCGCTTGTTGAAGGCTGAGGAAATGCTGGCCGTGGTGGTGCGCCTGAAGTCGGAGATGACACAGCCGGGCCGGATTGGTTGCCAGATGCGGCAGAGGCGAAGCTGGGCGCGCGATTTCGAGGGATGTACGATGATGAGTGACGCTTCTTGTGACGCGACAGCAGATCAAGGCGGACAAACTTCTGATCGCAACCAGGGATATCGCAAATGAAGATTTCTTTGGGATTGTCTATGGAGAGGCGTCAGGCCGCACCTTGTGACATTACGAGGGCTGCGACTGGACAGGGGAGTTGACTCACGGTTCAACTGGTGCCTCTGGAGATGCTCTGCTCTCGAGTATAACTTGTCGCAACCCGGGTGTTCGCAGACGAACCGCCGAGGAGCACCTCTGCGACTTGCACGCTTGTAGTTGGCTGCAGCACCACCAGGCTGGCCGGGAGATGGATGGCTCGCCATCGGCAACGGTCATGAGAGCATCGTCAAGAGAGACGCTTGATCCTTAAGCGTAGCTCGTATTTATGGTTTGCTGAGCCCGTATGTACCTTTCTAGGTGGTGATACTCTCATAAGCAAGGGGTGCGGGTACGTTGTGGCACGCCAAGCAAGTTGCGCAGAGCGAGCTGAAGATATTCGCGACAGCCGGTGAGATGGAGACGAGAGGTGGGCGCAAGATGAGATGGAATTGGAGATTGGCAGAGTTGCGCCTCAGGTGTCTGGCATACCGCGGGGGATGGGCGTGTTGAGCTGCTCCTCCCCCAAAAATGCCCCCCTTCCCCACACATCTCAAGCGGAAATGGGGAAGGCGCAACTCGAGATGAGTGGACCCCCCACGCCTGCACGGTGTTGCGCGGCTCTTATCGATAAGGATACCATAGAAGGTCCACTTGTACATGGAAGGACCCAATGAGAGAATGCCTGCAACTCATTCACTTACCTAATCAAGTATCGCGATCATTTTCGTCAAAATCCGCTTGGAAATGGAATACGCGTGGATCAAGTGATGTGCTCCCGCTCCGCTGGATTAAGCAAGAATTGCGTTCAGTTTATCAAGGGATGTCACGATGGGATGCCTCAAAGAAGAGTATTTCTGTCAATGCAATGGTCTTGCTATTGAGTTTTCTGTTGAGTTTTCCTCATCGAGGGGCTCTCTAGAGTTCCTTGAACAAGTTCTCCGATATGCCAAATGCTAAACCCCTCTCACAATGCCTGGGCTCCGTATACGACATGTTTCAATGTCTGGGAGTGTCTAGTAAAAGTACCCAAGGATCTTGCCCGAGGTGTTCTTTCTGCGAGCCTGGTGGTGATCCATGATACCGGCGGACGTGGTGAGCACGACATGGCCGAACTGGCGGGCAGGCAGAAGTCGGACACCCCATTTCTCCAGGTCTTCCAGTCGGACGTTGAAATGAGGGCTGATGACGCCACATTTGTTCAAGCTGAAAAGGGTCACAGTGGTTCGCAGAACAGGTAGGAGACATTGATGACGAACTGGCCGTCGAGTTAAACGACAATTTTGCCGCCTCGGTGTATATCGACTTCCTCGAAGTCAGACACGTAGCCATGCTGCTGCATAAGCTGGAGGAACTTGACGATGACCTGGAGGAAGGGCGAAGCACCACTTGGCGCTTGCGCGGACTATCTCAGACCTGTGTGAAGTTGTAGCTCCAAGCTTCAGCTCGTCTGCGTTGCTATAGCTTCAATTACAACAGAACGAAAAAAGACTCCAAAGGCAGTGGCTCTATAACATCGGATTTGTCATTGGCTCATTTCAAACTACCTCACTGCCGTTGTTGATCGAAGTCGTTGATGTGGAAGGAGGTTGACCTTGTCCCACTAGACAGAAGCTAAGATAACGAAACCAACGTCAGAGTACCTCGGGACTCCACGAATCTATCCGTTGCGAATCCGTTTGGCAATCTTATCCAGGGCCACATTCTCCTTTTCGAGCTTCTTATGATCCGCCCTATGGCTCTCGGCAGCAGGCCCAACCACCTCCAACAACCTTATGCTCGGCATCCCGAGATAGCCCCTGGGCGTCCCAGGCCGCCTATCAAGCCTCCCGTTCCTCATCGCAATGTTGTCATCGGTGTACTTCCTTAGCCGCTCCGGAAGGACCTCCTCGCCCCTCGTCTGGTGCTCCAGTACCTTGATCAAGTCCACAAACACAACCTTAGAAGAGGGCAATCTGACCTTGAACAACTCCAGCGCGGCCATGGTCTCCCGAAGATCGTAGCTCACAACGCACACCGTCGCGTACGCCGGACCACCCAGCGCATCAAACGCCTCTTGAGCCTTGGCCCTCGCCTCTTCCTCGTAGAGCTCAAACGTCTCATGCGCAGCGGCAGCGTTGTACCACGACCACGGCTTTGGCTGGAGGCTCTTATTGACTTTCGACTTCTCTAGCATGCGAATTGTCCTGGTGCTGCAATGTTTCTTGGAGGCGTCGTGCTTCTTGTCATCCAGAGGTAAGGATCGCCATATAGGCTTGTCCGCGGGTGACATGACATTTATCTCTATCGCTCTGGAATTGCGTTGGTCGGCGTACTGGTATCTGTCTGATAGCTCGCAGGCTACGATGACGATCTGGTCGCCTGCCCAGCAATTCGCCAGGGTCTCGTTTTCGTTGGCGCAGTCTTCGAAGCGACGGAGCTCGCTTTCGTTGAAGAGGCGTGGCTTTTGAGCGATATTGCGGGGAGATGTTCCCGGCGCCATGGGAGTGGAGGATGGACAAGATGATTGGCAGTCAAAAGAGTCGGGAAACTTTGTTCCTTGACGAATTACTTGGCATTTGTGCGAGGAACAGGACAGGACTTCCCTTGCACAGTATATGTAGCACCATTTGCATATACAGACACGAGCTAACATCTAGTTGACTCAATATTGGAGACTCCCTGCCGAAATACGAGGTGGCGGCGTGGGCACTTACTCAGCCCCAACGTGACTCTTACGCCGACGGTTTATGTGAAACTTGATAGCACTTGTAGATTAAGCGCACAGAAATATAACAAATAGAGCAGACTTATGCCGGACGATCTGATGGTATTGTCATTGAATACTTGGCAACATAATTGCTGCGATCGCTAGAATCATGAGAAAGAACTTGCTAGAGCTCTCTTTCATGGTAATTACGACTCATAATACTAAATATGAGCCCAAATCCTGGAATATCACTCGCTTCAAAACTGGAAGGAAGGACCCGAAAAGAAGGCAGTTTAATCTAGGGAGTTGTTCTAGTTGTCTACTACACCAGAGTCTAGATTGTGGTCAGCAGATCGGAAAGAGACTTGAGGGGAAACCCGGACAGAATAGACTTAGGCATAGCAGGAAGCCACTGGATTTAATCACACAGAGACGACAGGTTCTCTATGGAGCATCCTGCGTCTTTGTGGTTTGCTCCTTGCAGCCGAAGACTTTGTCCCTGCTGATCATCTTGAAATTCATTAAATAGCCAGCAACATCTGTGGTCTGGTGGTCAATACAAGTGGAGGAACTTTTTCCGAAAATGAAGGGAAGTCGTAATATATTAATCCCCTGATGGCCAAGGGAAACTTCAAGCAACTGGGAGCTGTGCATGTACTACGTTGACGGGTAAATACATATTAGTACTCAAAAAGGTCGATGCCCAAACCAAGAAAAAAGAGTTCACCACCGGTGTGGCTACATCTCTTGGTGCACATGCTGGGACTCGAACTCGGAGCCTGTCGTCGAGTAGGCTGTGGGCGTAATTGATCATTGGCAATTAACCTCTCCACCACCCAGCCAGTTTGACCTGACCTGTCGACCTAGACGGGCGCCTACTGGCTGGTGACAGCAAGGGGACTGAGGGGGTATATGAAGCTTCCTTCCGATGTGTATTCCGTTTATTCAGGTGGTGAAGAGAATATCAGATGAAGGTCCAGCAAGCGATGTGAATCTGCCGAAGGCGCGTTCGGCACAATCATCAAAGTGCGATGTCCGGCCGTCATGCCGTGAATGTCTGTAGTTCGACCGCACCAAAGCTGACAGCTCTTCCGCGCTCTTTTGGGCTCGCTGGTTCACTAAAGTGATATCTCACTGTACTTGATGGTGATGTGGTGACCCGATTCGATCATTCCAGTAAGTCTGCCAGACTACGTCAGCGCGTCAGACTCAGCCTCAACTCCATCTGGGGCCCCGTCAACTGGACCAGACTGCGCCCTATTGTGGAAATGATGCGGAAATGACCCAATACTGTTCAACTATTCTTCAGAAACTATTTGTCACTTCATCTGTCGGGCACCCTTCAAGGCAGTGAGCGCGGCAGTGTTTAGCTAGACAGGATAGTTGAAGCTTTCGGGATGGCTTCATGCTTTTGTTCGAGTTGGGATCGGGCAGAGCTGGGAAACTGTCAGGTGTCGATTTGGATCAAGATGATTTGGAATGTAATGTCGCAGATGCATTGAGATGCCCCGTTGAAGTTGCCAATATCTTCACATAAAAGCCATCATGATACCCCGCTGAATTGGTTTGGATCAACAGACTCGTCACAAAATCAACTACAATCGAAGAAACTGCTTTAGTACTCATTATTCTCATATCACTTGAACTTACAAACATCAAAATGCTAATCGCAAACCTCCCCCTCGCCGCCATGGCCCTGTCCTCACTCGCCATGGCTGCTCCTCATCGCAGAGACAACGAGTCTGCCACGGGTCTCAGCTTGACTGCTCAACTTCAACTCGCGGACAGGTGTGTGAGAATTCTTAACTTACACTGGTACTGAAACTAGCTGCTAACACATTACTAGCGGCGCAGCCCGATACCGTCTCCTCGCCAAGGACGAAGACTTCATCTACGACTTCAACAAATCCCAAGTCGCCCTCGCCAACCGCCAAACCTTCCCAGCTGTGACCGGCCTAGGCGGCAGCATGGCCGTCGCCTCTCTACCCGGTACGTCCAAGGATACAACCTCAAAACGGTGGGAAAAGCCAAGCTAACAACACACAAACAGCCTGCGCAATGTCCTTCCTCCACCTCCACCCCCGCGCCTCCGAACTCCTCGTCGTAACCTCGGGCCGCCTCATCACCGAAATGGTCCCCGAAGCCGGCGTCCTCGACGCCTCCGGCAAGCAGCGCGTCATCCGTGCCGACCTGGGCCCCAACCAAATGACCGTCTTTCCCCAGGGATCCTTCCACACCCAAGTGAACCCCGAGTGTACCCCGGCCTCGGCCGTCGTGTCCTTCACCTCGGACGAGGGCGGCACCGCCATGGTGGCGGCGCAGCTGTTTGCTCTGAGCGACGTCATAGTTGAGACTTCGTTCGGGTCGAGCATTGCTGGGGAGGATATTGATCGGGTGCGCCAAGCTATTCCGAAGAACCTTGTGTTGGAGGTTGAGGACTGTCTGAAGAAGTGTGGGCTTGAGAGGCGGGCTCTTTAGGTGGTCGAGAACTCAGGAGACGTATGGCTACTGAAGTAGCATTTTGGGAGAGTATAGTTGGGATGTTCCCCCTTTTTCCTTTGCGTCTCTGAATAGGAGTGCGGAACATCCGTAGGCAGTTCCTATTCATTCATTAGCTTTTCTTTTATCTTGTCATTTGATTCCAGGATCTTGTTAACAACTCTTCTTCTTTCACTCATTCAACATATACTTATGGGTAAATAGCTGTCATATAACCCGCATGCAAGCAAACATGGAGAATGCCGCGTATGTTGACAACTTGGCCCAGCATCAGATAGGCACTCAAGAAATCCGATTCTAGATTCCTGAACATTAAGGGGACCCAGTATCAAATGATTTAATACTCAATTGCCAATATAAAACGGGCATCAATGACTAGCAGGTGCCGCGAACAGTGTCAAAGAAGGAGTTGTCTTGGAATCCTATAATATTGTCGCGAGCTTGATATGCCTTTGTGAATGGTTGAGCCACGAGTGTCGCGGATGACCCTTGCAACTCGATACAGTCCATGTCAACTCAACTCGCTTGCTGTTGCGAGTAGAAAAAGTGTCGTAAATTCCTCAGATAGCCTACAATCACAGCACAGCAAAAGAGCCCGCTCGGGCGTCGTCAATAGTCGTTCACTCATTTGATTTTTTGTCTTAAACTCATAAGCCAGATCCCATCTATGAACTCTTGCTGCTCTCGCCAGCCTTATCCTTGCCCTTGTCTTCCTCAACGGCACCATCATCCTCAACCTCAATGCCAGACGCAGCACCGCTCAGCCCTTCCTCCTGGTTTCCGCCCTCCATTTTCTCAGATTGCGCCAAGAACCAGTCCGCGACCTCTCGCTTGTCGTTGAAAAGCGCCGAATCGAGAGGAATTTGATCCTTGTCGTTGGCCACCGCAGGGGAAGCGCCATGGCTGACGAGGTACTTGACTGCCTCAAGGTGGCCGCCCAAGCACGCCCAGTGCAGACCTGTGTTGCCAAACTCGTTGCCGGCGTCGACATACGCCTTCTTCTCCTCTGCAGGACGGCTGTCAAAGGCTGTGACGAGGGCCTTCACGATATCTGTACAACGAATTAGCTCAAATGCTGGAAGTTTCAAGCACAAATGAGGCAATAACTTACCGAGGTGACCATTACCGGCAGCCATGTGCAGGCAGGTTGACTTGCCCTCATCCTTGGCGGCGGTGATGATCTCGCCTACGGTAGCGCCTTCGCGCTCCGACAGGGACTTGAGGGTTTCTTCGAGATCAGCGAGCTCGCCGGCCCTTGAAAAGTAAATGAGATCGTCAATCTCCTCTTCTGAGAGTTTGGGTGCCATTTTCGGTGAGATTTTGTAAATGCTGTCTGAGGACCTAAAATGAGTCTTGAAAGTGAGGTAGAAATTTTCGGGTGATGTGTGTGGAGGTACAGTGTTAGAAGCTCGTGTGCGCACTCCGCACGGCTCCTCTTCCTCTTCAATGGACATCACTGTTCACCCTGTGCCAGCCCAAAAGCAAACGTCAAGCCAGCACCTGAATCGAAACAAAGACTCCAAAGACAACGCTAGAAACGCACATGCGCGAGTGCGACAGATCAGAAAGTCCCCAAGTGCTCATCGAGCCATCTCGACATGTCTCCTGCGTTGTCCACAGCTTGAATCTCTGCCTTGATGCCGAGAAACAGCATCACCTGTAGTTCTCGTCGGCATTCTTGATCATTTTCGGTGCCGTCCTCTTCGATTTCCTTGACCGTGTTGATAGCGCGCGTTCTATCTCGCAGCGTAAGAGAACTAGTAGAGTCGAACAAGCTCGCACCAGGCCGCCTTTGGCTGCCGTTGATATCGGGCCCGTGGCTAGGGGTCGCATCCTGACGGAATGCGAGATCGTCGCTTTTTATGCCGAGCCACTGCATGCTAGGTACAGTCGTTGCCTTTTCGTGTGCATGTCCCCGTGTGCCGTAGCTGTAGCAGCGCATGATGGCAATACCATAGCAGTCGAAGTCCACAAGAGCGAAAATTGGAAGCTCAGGTTTGGCTGTGTGCAGAAGGTGTACGAACTGCTTGGTGTTCAAATCTGGGTAACCTTTGCCCTATGGATATGTCAGAGAGTTGTAGTGCTGCTGTTCCCGTAGGTAAGTCTACTGACCGTGACAAGAATGCCCAAGCCAAAGGCTGAAGTCTCCTAGTACCTCGCCGATGCCAGTGTCCGATACGTTGCCTGTTCCAGTCAGCAATGTTTTGCAGCCAACAACAAACCAGTCCAACCTCTTTCTCGATGACTAAGACCCAATGTGCTGGACCAAAGTCAATCTCGGAGACAGTCCTGGCTGAGGGTATGAGGATCCCCTGGATCTTGATTAGCAACAGCTGTGGTCAAGTCTTGGTGCTCCGTACGTGCTCGCTTGAAGAAGCGTCAACTTCGGAAGTCCTGGAACGCAGAATAATAGGCCCAGACACAAGGCCTTTACTTGCGGCAACCTGAGGAACGGTCATGAGATTACGTCTATCAAAGATAGGGGTCACTCACTATACCGAGGTCCTCCCTCCCGAGGCCTAGCGTAAAGGCAAGGTCATCAACGAGGTTGTCGACGATGGACTGTCTTTTGAATAAATCGGTGTCCTGATAGTAGATGTTCCTGTTCCGCCATGCTCTGAGCACTTGACACTATCAGGAGGCAGATCATGGAGCGCACACCTCTTGGTAATCAGCCGGCCTTCCGTCAGGGCGCTCAGGGACAGTTGCATGATGCGCATGATACGTGCTGTAACGGCTGAACGTCAGGAACAAATTACCGTCAACCAAGCATGATTACGAACTGAACTTGGTTGCTTCCTCTATTGTCCGGCCCGGGAAGCGAACTGCTAATCGAGTTGTCCGAGATGGGCCATGGTTGCTCGTGGATTGGCTTGTGGAAGGTCGGGTCCTGAAGGGAATGGATATCTCTCGAGACTGTAGCAATGATTCTCGAGCAGATATCAGGATATCTTCCAACTTCACAATGGCGAGCCCGATGGCATTCCTATGTGGATCCGGATCGGGGATGGTCACGACGTTGCTTGATTGACTCGGATTAGACAGCTGTGGCGTTAGTTGGCCCTCTCGGCGGCCGTTGAGCAACGGGGGTGTAGCAAAGTCCATCAAATCAAAGACAAGGCAATGGGGCCTGTATGTAGTTGAATTGGCAACGCTTGAAATCCTCTGAACGCGCCCGCAAAGTTTTGTCAGACTCTAGGGTTTTGGCGGATTGTCTTTTACTGGAGGGTTGGTACGAAGAAGATGGTGTGCAAGAGAAGCTGGAGGTGGGAGCTGCAGGAACGGACGAAGGAGGCGCTCCATATTTCAAAGCCATTGGCCAATGATGGGAGAAGTACCGCTAGTGGGAAGAGCACCGTGCGGCATGGGGAGATGGTGGGTTATTACCTAATCAGCAGAAGATGGAGTGATAGACAGCTTAGCTAAGCTATCTTTGGTATTAGGCTCTCGAAAGCCGGTGCCGCTGAAGTTTATTTTGCGCTGGTCTGGAACTGTGTGACATCCTGGCACCTGTCAAATGGCCTGGGAATTTGCGTTTCGCCCGTCAACTTACCTGATGTACAGCTGAAATGCCCCCAACAATCTTGAGCCAAAGTCAGCTGCGACAGAGCATCAACGATGCCTCGAGAGCCCAAGGACTGACAATGTCGATCAAGACGGACTATTAACACCTCTGATTACCCTGTTTCGATCTCCACCAAATCCTGATTTCCAGCAGGGATCTCGTACGAGGATGTGGTGGGTTTCTCCCGAGAACATGCATCTTCCTGTCGTTGGAGGGACACCGCCTCAGAGAGACGCGCAGGGGGCGCCGCCTTCTGGGAGCTGACTGGGCCACCATTTAACAAGTGCATGAATCCCATCCCACCACCCTCCAATTCGATCCAGGCGGCCCTCAACATCGCTCCTCCTCTGCACCACGACGACTTCACCCGCCGTCACACAGAGGACAATTACCGCCTGCCATGGTCGCCGAGAAAGCCCCATCCGTTGCGTCGAGCAATGGCACTCTTGGGGCCAAATCCGTTCAGTCTCGCAAGCGTGTCGCAGAAGCCATCGCCGAGCAGGAATGGCCCAAGAAGCCCCGCATCGATGCCAAAACCGATCGCACAAAATGGAGGATGAAGGACGAGGACGGCCGACACACCTGGAAATACTTGGAGGGCGACGACGCCGCAAAGGACTGGCCCCAGACCTACGCCGACAAGTACTACTTGGGTCTTCCTCTTGTCAGTCCACCTTTTACTGTTGCGACTTTGAATGACAGATATGTCACTGTTCTTCGCTAACACGTCTCCCGCACACACAGGACCTCCCAATCCTTCCCGAGCCCGAAAATCCACTCGATGCGACACGCAATGGCCTCGAATTCGTCGAAAAGCTTCAACTTCCCTACGGCGACTGGGGTTGCGAATACGGCGGTCCCATGTTCCTACTCCCAAGTGCCGTTATCGCCTGGTATGTCACCAAGACGCCCATCTCGTCCGCCTTCGCAACCGAAATCAAGAACTATCTCTTCGCCCGCGCGCATCCTGAGTTGGGTGGCTGGGGTCTCCATACCGAAGGTATCAGTACCGTCTTTGGCACCTCCATGAATTATACAACCTTGCGCCTCATTGGCGTCGATGCTGAGGAGCCCATCATGGTCAAGGCCAGAGCAAGGCTTCATGAGCTCGGTGGCGCAACGAAAGGGCCGCACTGGGCCAAGTGGTGGCTCGCTGTCCTGGGAGTTGTGGACTGGGAGATTGTCAACCCTGTTCCTCCCGAGATCTGGCTGCTGCCAGACTGGGTGCCCATTGCCCCTTGGCGGTGGTGGGTTCACATTCGCCAAGTCTTCTTGCCAATGTCATACGTATACTCCAAGCGCTGGACTTGTGAAGAGACTGAAGTCATTCGCGACCTCAAGAAGGAGCTCTTCCCCGAGAATTGGGCATCCATCAACTGGAAGGCGAACCGCAACAGCATTGCACAGGTCGACAACTACAACCCCAAGTCCTGGCTGCTCAACACAGTGAACTGGTGCTTGGTCAATATCTGGAACCCCTATCTGCGAACAAACTGGATCAAGGAGAGAGCTGAAGCTTGGACCAGTGACTTGGTTGACATGGAGGATGCCAACACGGACTACCTAGGTCTGGCGCCAGTCAATGGCCCCATGAACCACATTGTCTGCTACATTCGGGACGGCCCAGGGGCTTACACCGTCCGTCGACACGCTGACAGAATCATGGACTCCCTATGGGTCAATGCCGAGGGCATGCTGGGCAACGGTACCAACGGCGTCCAATGCTGGGACACCGCCTTCATGATCCAGTCAGTCGTCGCTGCTGGTCTCGAGACTGATAATCGTTGGCGCCCCATGCTGGAGAAGGCCCTCGGCTTCCTCGACAGGCAGCAGATTCGTGAAAACTGCAAAGATTCGGACAAGTGCTACCGCCAACAGCGCAAGGGCGGTTGGCCTTTCAGCAACAGAGAACAAGGCTACGCTGTCAGTGACTGCATTTCTGAGGCGCTCAAGGCCGTCATCTTGCTGCAAAAGACCGAGGGCTACCCCCAGCTTCTCGATGACCAGCGTATTTTTGATGCCATCGACTCCATTCTTCTTTACCAAAACGAGACCGGAGGCGTGGGCTCATACGAACAGCGTCGCGGGGGCGAGTACATGGAGTTGCTCAATGCCGCCGAGGTCTTTGGCCGCATCATGATCGAGTACGACTACCCCGAATGCACCACTGCCTGCGTCACGGTCTTGTCGCTCTTCCAGAAGCACTGGCCCGATTATCGCAAGGATGACATCCGCATCTTTGTCAAGCGTGCTGTGAACTGGATCCGTTCCCACCAGAACATTGATGGTTCTTGGTACGGAAGCTGGGGTATCTGCTTCACCTATGCGGGTATGTTTGCGTTGGAGAGTCTGGCCTTCGCAGGAGACACCTACAGCACCAGCAAAGTCTCCAGGAGGGGTTGTGACTTCTTCATCTCCAAGCAGAGAGAGGATGGTGGATGGTCCGAGAGCTACAAAGTAAGTGTGCCTCTATTCAATTATTCCAAGCACCCGAACTGACGATGAAAGGCTTCCGAGACAATGGAGTACCACGAACACCCGAGAGGATCCCTAGTAGTGCAGACCGCCTGGGCCCTGATCGGCCTGATGGAGGCTGAGTACCCCCACATGGAGCCCCTTCGAAAGGGTATCCAATTCCTCATGGATCGCCAGCAAGCCAATGGCGAATGGCTCCAGGAGACGATGGAAGGCGTTTTCAACAAGAGTTGCACGATTGCGTATCCCAACTACAAGTTCACGTTC